ACATTTAATATGTGAATATTTAATTGAGCTTTAACCACTTAAATGCTGAGTTTTGCACCGTTTTACAATCTGTGCTACTTGTTTGTTTGTTTTGGGTGTTTAACTGATTTTAAAATCAGTTTGATCAAAGGAGCAGAAACCAAACTGAGCTGCAGCTCAGTGGAAGTGATTCATGTTTTTATTCCTGTCTGGATCTTCCTCTGGTGACCAGCAGGAGGCGCTACAGAACAACAACAACAACAACAGTTTGCGGACGTGACGCGGGGCGTGGCTGACTGCTCTGTGTTTGGCTGCGTGGGTTCATCTGAGGTGGACGACAACCGGATGTAGAAATATACAAAATAAAAGCATCGCATGTATTCTGTAAAATGTCAATAATAATAATGATGATAGATAGATAGATAGATAGATAGATAGATAGATAGATAGATAGATAGATAGATAGTAAAGTAAAATAAAATAAAGTGAATTTCTAAATAATTTGATCATGCACATTTAATGACAATAATAACAATAATAATAAGTGCAGTTTAATCAACAGATACAGAAGTCAAATGTTCTAAATTCATCATGAAATAATCAACAAGGCGCTGATTTGTTTTTGGAATAAATTATTGCTGATTATTGATTGATGTTTACGGACCAATCAGTTGTTCACTAAACTTAATCTGAAAAACTAACCGCACTGATAATAAAATACATATATTTTTTGTCCCTCTGAGATTAAAAGCTTGTTTTTATATCTGATGAGCATCTGAGAGTTTGTGCACAAAAATTGCACATTAAATTTAAATATTAAATCCTCATTTGCAATATTTCCTTTTCCTATCTAATATTCTTTCAGCCTTATTTTACATATTTATATCAGTTTTAATATTCTGTACTTACATCCTGCTTCTATTCCCGTAACATCTCGTGTTATTTGGGTTTATTTGCTTTAAATCTCTTCTTGCGTTATTCACAAACCGGGCCGGTGATGTTTGACCTCCGGCCCTTTATTGTGAAGGAGCGAGCGGAAGCAGCGCGTTTCTCCGGCGTGCAGCTTGACTCCTGCAGCGTTCTTCTGCCTCGCTCCTCTCGCTCCTCTTCAGTGTTTACTGTCGCTTCGTGGAGGATTCAGGAGCTTCAGGAGCAGAAGGTTTTTCTCTCAGCGAGCAGATCCAAGATGGAGAAGCGAGACGGGGCCGTTCATCGGTAAGAATCCGGCGGATTTTAACGAAACTTTTCTGATCCTGAGCAGAAAGCAGTGAAGCGACCTGAGCAGCAGCTGATCAGCTTCAGCCTCAGTCCAGGTTTTAGTGCCTCCAGCTGCTCTCTGGTCCTCATTCTGCTCCAAACACACGCTTTTCATGTGAAATCTTATTTTAACCTGCAGGCAGTTTGTGTCTGAACAGAGTTCAACTGGATTTATGGTGTTTTTTTCCTGATTTTCTTTGATTTTCTGTGTTTTTCTGGTTTTCTGTGGTTATCTGTGGTTCCTGCAGTGTTCTTCTGGTTGTCTTTGTTCAGGCCTCAGTCTCAGGAGAAGGTTTTGCTTCATAATTTCAGGATCTGATTATATTTGATTAGAAAAATGTGTTTGTTTTTAATGTTTCCTGCAGAGATGAAGGTGTTTACTGGCTGCTGCTTCATGTTGAAGCTTTGTGTCTGCAAAAAAAGGCATTTAATTACAAAATAAATCCACTTAAGTGCATAAAAATGCTGGAAGAATGTGAGTTTATCTCTGATTTGATGGTATTTGAGGAGAAATGTGTGTTTACTGGCTGCTGCTTCGTCTTCTTGAGGCTTTGTGTTGTGATATTTGTGCAAAAACTGAAATTTAATTAATATAGAATCCACTGAAGTGCATGGAAATGCTTTTAGAGTTTATCTCTGATTTGATGGTATTTGATCAGTAAAGATGTGCAGCAGTGTGTTTGTTTTCCTCGTTTCCTGCACACAGGCTGCAGAAAACATGTTTACTGGCTGCTGCTTCTTCTTCTTCTTCTTCTTCTTCTTTTTCTTCTTTATCTTGAGGCTTCATGTTGTGATATTTATGCAACAAAAAAGGCGTTTAATTACAAACTAAATCCATTTTAGTGTGTAGAAACGCTGGAAGAATGTGAGTTGATCTGGTATTTGATCAGAAACGTGCAGCAGTTTGTTTGTTTGTCGTGTTTCCTGCAGAGAATGAAGCTGTTTACCGGCTCATGCTTCATGCTGAGGTTTAGTTTTGTGATATTTCTGAAAAAAAACAACAAACATTTAATTGATAAAGAATCCGTTTAAGTGCATGAATGAGTGTTTGCTGGGTGTTTTCTTGTTCTCTTGGTGTTTCCTGGCTGGTTGTGACCCGTTTTTTTTTGCAGTATTTCTGCAAAACTGGCTTTAAATCAGGCTGGAAATCCACTCTGGTGCATGAAACACAGAAGGAGCAGGACTTCCTGTTGAATGTGGTGGTTCTGAGGTGTGTTGTGGCTGCAGAACATTCTGTGCTCGCTGCTTTGTTTGGTCTGTTTTAATGTGATTATCAGCGGGTACGGTGGCCAGCGAGGACAAAGTGTGCACGTTGGAGCGTGCACGTTGGAGCGTGCACGTTGGAGCGTGCACGTGGTGTTTGTGTCTTTGAAAGCAGCTCTTGTGGGTCGATCACACCCTCAGCGCTCGGCTCGGGGCTCCGGTCCCGCCTGAAACCAGAAACCTGCAGCGTTTGGAGCGAATAGCAGAGGAAGCCTCTGTCCTGACGGAGAGTTCAACATGTGGCAGAGCGTCCTGAGCTGACCCCCCGGCGCTCACGTCTCCACAGAATGCAGGCTTCAGAGGCCCAGAGGAGACTTTCAGCACAGATCCATCAGGCCGGGACTCAACGGAGCAGATTCCGATCATCTAAAAGAGAAAACTCCTGCTTTGAGCTTCTGTTTGTCTCTTGTTCTAACCTGAAATTTGAAGACTTATTGAACAATCTGTTCACACCTGGGTGGAAATACCTGGTGGTTTCTGCTCAGTGGAGGTTAGAAATTCAACATTTTCTCTCAAATTAATTTAGTTTTTTTGCTGCTTCCACCGTCTCAGTTCTTTTTTTATCTCTAACTGTGTGTATTTGTGGTTTTATCTGCTTCGTGCATCAAATACTTTCACAACAAGAGCCCCTTGTTTCTCTCACTGACAACATTTGCTTTTAAAGATTAAACCCTGAGACGTTCGACCTCGTTTTAAACTTTCTTTCTTTGTGTAAATCATTTCTGCTTGTAAATGATGCACAAACAACACTTCCTGTTTCTTGCCTCCAGTTTGCTTTTCTGTGAGTCGTCCTGACGTCACCTCAGAGGTTTGTGAATGGAGACACACCTGTGCAGGTGCTTCAGAAGCAGCTTCGACGTGGAACAAACTGCACGTGAGAGGCTTCACCAGCTCTGACTGACTGGTTGGGAGATCCACATACTGATATCCTTGGTTTCAATTAAGGGTTTGTTGCTCCGCCCCCTCGTTATGCGGGTCGTTAGTGCTCCTCCTGCCCCAGTGGGCTTCGTTAGTGGCTCGGTGTGGATGTGGGTTCATCTTCCTGGGGCGAGGTGACGCCTCAGACCTCCACCTCTGATGGTCTTTCTGGTTAGACGGCTTCTGTCTCTCAAACCGTCCGTCCTCCCAGTTGTTGAGTGTCCTTCATGTGCAGGCGGGCCGCTGAGTCCTGGTGTGTTTGTGTTTTGTTGTGTTCATGATGATTTATTAACAGTATTTCGTTTTTTTTTTTTTATTGTTTTGTCGAAGCCTCTCTGACACCAAGCGTTGCGTCTTTTTTGGGCACATTTGATCCGAGTCGTCACCAGAACACTTGTTCTCTCTGCAGCACGTGCGTCCGGAGGCGTTTACGTGCCATGACACAGTTTGTGCTGCCAAAAAACGCACTTCCTCGTTCCAGCGCCGAGCTTTTGTTGAACTGTGTGTTCCAGCCAAAACAGGAGCGTCTGATTCAGCAGGGAAATGATGCAACGTGACCGTATGTGTGTTTGTTTGTTTGGGAGGAGTGTGTACTCGATATTCTCATATTGTGGTAATCCCCCCTCCCCCCTCCTCCTCACCAGTCATAATTTGAAGCTTTTACTTTGAAGGCGCCGCCTCCAGTTCCAGGACATTTGAGGACATTGTGTTCTCGGCTGTAAACACACACACAGAGACACACACACACCGTGCAGATTAAACATCAGATGAGTGAAGGCGTGACCGCCGTTTGTTCTGCTGCAGAACTCGATCACGTCTTCTGTCAGAGCCTCGAACTGCAACTGGAGTCGAGTTATTTAAAGCAAACACTGCTGCCGGTTCCTCGTCTCGTCGTGTTGTCACGGCCGCTTATGAAGTAGAACTGGTTGATTTCTTTTTGCTCCATCACAGGTCAAAGGTCTCAAGAGTCAAGCTTCTTGTTTTTCTTATTTGTGCACAAACTGGAATCCTCTGATATATAATAAAGCATTACACAATAAAACAAGAGCGATTAAAGATAAAAGGCTCCTCCGACAGCCTCTGGAACCGTCTTCAGACTTCAATAACTCGTCCGTTGCGGCAGGTGGAGCTTTGAAACTGGTCGTCTTGGGCTAACTTTTAATCCGGAATCCAAAAATGTGATCAGATCCGGTGTCTCGTCTTCGTTCGTCGTCCTACGAGGCTCTGAAAATGGCCCGACGGTTCACGAGACGCCCTCTGATGCAGTCCCTCGTTTGACAAGTGTCAGAGATGAAGCGCTCGGGATCGTTTCCGTCTCGTTTATCGAGCGTTAGACGATGTTTACGTGAACATTAGTAGTAAAATAAAGTTAGATTTCATGACTTCTTGCCTGATTCGGCGTCTTTTTCATGTTTGTTCCTGTAAATCTGACCCAAATACGGTTTGTTTTGTTTCTAATTTAATGACCCAGCTGCACATTTGAATCATTTTTATTACGCTGATTCATTTATCTGTAGCGAAACAGTTAAAATTGCTCAAAATCACGTCTTTTAAGCTGTCGGTGGAAGGATGTGTTGGTATTTTCAGGGCCGATGTGATTGTCAGTGATCCGGGAACTCAATAACTGATGTTCGTTTGTGGTGAAAATGGTTTTATTTATTTGTGATTTACAACACATTTAGAATCTGTTTGTGCTTTAAGAACTGATAATCAATGAAATACTGAATATGGGATCCATAAATCAGTGGTTTCTGACTTTGAGCTGCTTGTTCATGCAGATTAATCTCCTCAAATGTTTAATTTAATATTATAAACAGGAGACAAAAATCAGCTGATGTTCGTGTTTAACAGACGGAAGCAGAGAATTTTCTACATTTTTTTGCTTGGAGAAGAAACTGAAACGTTCCTTCATGTGGTTTCATTCAGTGATTGTTAAAACTTTTGCACTTTTTTCTACTAAAAAAAGACCAAAACCGACTCGCTGCAGGTGTTTAAACCTGAAACTACGTCGACATAGAATGAAATAGTTCAACAAACGTCAAGCTTTTTATTTTCAAACTTCACATTTTGTGACGAAGCTTAATTCCAGATGTGCAGGAAATCTAAAAACGTGGTTCGATTCTGAAGCGAAGACACGATTAGTCCTGAATAAAATAATATTAACGTGTGTTTCTCACTGAATCCATGTTTTAATCTGAGAAGGAGCTGAAATAAACGCTTCTGTTGCTCAAACTGCTCATAAACAACTCATTTAACTTATTTAAATAAAATATAAGATCTATAAGAAGTCAGATTTAAAGTGTTGCTCCCTGATTGTTTAGTTCAGCCTCCAGTAATCTGATTACTCTCTACATCACGACGGTGGAACACTTTCTCGTCTGACCCACTTTCGGCTGCCTGAACATTCTTCAGCCTTCTGCTGAAGGAGGAAACTCTGCCCTTCGTCTTGTTTTTCTCTCTTTCTGTCACTCATTACTCGACCTCTTGAGTTAATCTCACGACCCCTCGGAGGGTCACGACCCGCGCTTTGGGAGTCGCCTCCTTCAGAGAACAAAGAGAGAAGCTGCCGAAGCGTCGGCGTGACCAAGCGGCTCTTTCAGACTCTGAGTCCTCATGTGACCCTCGGAGCAGCTCGGCTGGTTTTTCAGGCCTCGGATCGGCAGCGTGTTCGTGTTCAGGAGAAACCAGATCCGGGTCCAGAGTCCTGCTGCATATTACAGCACCAGCAGGAAGCACGTCGAGCCTGGAGGCTGCTGCACGCTTTGTTTACACTCAGT